CCGCCCTTCATCTGGCCATCACATCTCCTGTCCGGGTCACCATTCCGAATTTTGCGCTCCCGATGTGGCATCCTGAGCTAGTCCTCCGGATGCTGCCTTCCAACCATATATCTTCTGCAGACCCTTGACCATGTCCTTCAGGTGCATCAGGCGGCCCCCAGGCACAGTGATCGAAACCCTGCCAGTCCAACCGTAGACCTTCTGCTGTCCCCCGGTCTGGGAAGTTGTGAACTGTATGTGATCTGTCAGGTCTGAGGATTCACAGAGCATCACTCCCAACTGTGTCTTTCAGATGGATAAGGCGGCGATGAAAAGATTCGTTTTTCCGTTGAGGGCCTTAGGAGCTGGAGACGAAAGTGGAACGCAGGGCGCGGCGGACGACGCTTGAGCGCTCCAAGTTAGCGCTACCGGCGGTAAGCCGGTCCGGGCCTTCGCGGTGTCGGCACCACCAGGATGGCATCGTGAGAGCGGAGTCGTCCTGCTCGGTAATTTCCGAGCAACCAAACCGGAGGGAAGGGGGACGTGATGGCACGTGGTCTGGCCTGTTACAGAGCTACAGTGCGGAGACTTCACGAGAAGTACGAGCAAGGTAGGTTCGAAGAGATCACGTGTGCAGTCAATGGGGCGTGCGCCGGTTAGGTGCCCGCCGTTGAAGCGGGAATTTCGTAAGGAGTAGGGCTGAAGTCAAGGTAGTAGGTAGAGATGGCAGATCAAGAGGAGAGAGTGGTGGTTCAACAGTCGCAGGTGCATCGGGAGGAACGAGGACCGCCGGGAGCGGAAGTTCAAATGTCAGACGAAGATCGGATCAGAATACTTATAGCCAAGTGCTATGAGGATGGAGTGTTCCCTGAGAGAATGAGACATGGGGAATTCGTGATAAAGAACGACATCGGTGTCTTCAAGATCAACTCGCAAATTGACCGTCTCACCACGGCCTGGCTGAAAGAGCATACAGGCACGGTTATTTTCCAAGGAGCTGCTCAAGACCTACCGATGAGGACCCGGGAGGATCTCATAAGGGGGTATGAGAATGGCTGGCTCCGCAGCCACACATTCGCAAGAGGATTCAAAAGAGGGAGGGTTCATGGTGAGGGAGCCAACCCCATGTCATACGTGGCAAAATCGAGAGAGGTGGCTCAATGGTTAGTGGCCAAAGGGGAGGATGTTGTGTTGATCAGGGGAGTCGAGTACAAAATGTTATTTAAACCCTGGATGATGAGGGTGGAGTTGGACGAGCGAAGAAGATAGGAGGAGGAAACAAAATTTTGGGTGACAGCACTCCGAGTCCCTCTGCGCGCAATGTTTCATGTCCCGGACCTGGTCCAACAAGCAATGGGAGCAATTATTCTGCAACACCCGCCAGAGCCATACGCGACGACACGACTTTCTCAAGATCGCGGTCGTACGCGAGCGCGCACGTGAGAAACAGAGGATTGGTTCAATGTACGGATCGCGTTCGGCATACATGCAAATATCCTACTCATGCTACGTTGGGTGAGATCCAGTCATTACATGCCATACATGTGACGAAAAAAAAGGAGGAAAGAGGGGAAAGACAATCAACTTCTTGGTGACCGAAAGTTAACGATTAAACCCAAACATCCATAATGAGCGCTTTCAATCAGATCTGAGCGTATAGCTCATGCAAGTGAATAGTAGACAGAGACGAAGCAGGCATCGCCAAACAAGGTTGGAAATCCGAAAAGATCACTAACTTAAAGGGAATTCACATTCATTTCATGCATACATACGGAGTAAAAACGACATGG